AGAATTTTTAATATTTATTTTTTAGTTCTCGGCGGATACAACATCTTTGTTGGTATGTGGTGCTGAGGGTCGAAACTGGGCCGCAGGCATGCCAGGTGAGCGCGCTACCGCTTGAGCCACATCCCCAGCCCAACACTGCTCACCCTTCTGCCTTCCACTTTTTCAGACAGAACAGTGTTCTACTCTGTATTCCACATTGCCTTTTAATTTTCTGGGATACACAAGGCCATCTTCCCAACTAGACCAAAAGTTCTTTGAAGAAAGAGACATGTTCCTTTCACGTTTCTATCTCCAGAGCTTGGCATATGGCAGACAATAGGTATATATGTGTCAAATAAATGAATGAAATATGGGTGTATCCTCTTGTTTTTCCAAAAGGGACAGGGCAGGGCAGGGAGAGACCTACACCCTGGGAAATAGTCAGAGTCTAATTGATTACCTGGAGGCAGCCTGGGTAGGAGAGTAAGGAAGTCCAAACCTTTAATATAAGTGGGTCGGCTCAGTTGATCTAAATAGCCAGTTGAGGCCAGTTATGATGAGATATAAATGAGTGCCAGATAACTGTGAACTACATCTGTAGCCCTAAAGGAAACATTTTTAAAATGATTCATTTGAACCTTTAGGAACTCAGGTCCACTGTTGCTGGATCTTTTGATTCTTTCAAAAGAATTAACCAATCAGGATTTTAAAATTGGAATTTAAAAAAAAATTGAAAATTATCAATTTTGATAAGGAGTCAATGGTATAGTATATTTTACACTCAAATGAATTTGTTTTTTGTACTGGGGACTAAACCAGGGGTGCTTTATGACAGAGCTACAGCCCTAGTGCTTTTTATTTTTTATTTCTGAGACAGAGTCTCATTAAGCTGCCCAGAATGCCTCAGCCTCCCAGGTCCCTAGAATTACAGAAATGTGCCATCATGCCTAGCTTCAAGTGGATCTCTGTTTTTGTTTTTGTTTTGTACTGGGGATTTAACCCAGGGGCACTTAAACACTAAGCCACATCCCCAGCCCTTTTTATTTTTTATTTGAGACAGGGTCTTGCTAAATTCCTTAGGACCTCACTAAATTGCTGAGGCTGGCTTTGAACTTGCAATTCTTCTGCCTCAGCCTCCTGAGCTGCTGGGATTATAGGTGTGTACCTACACCCAGCTCAAATGAATCATTTAAAAAATGTTTCCTCTAGGGCTACAGATGTAGTTCACTGATAGAGCACTTGCCAAGCATGTGCAAGGCCCCGAATTCAATACCCAGTACCAAAAAAAAAAAAAAAAAAAAAAAAAAAATTCTCTGTGACAAAATTACTTTCAATGTGATTCTTCAATCTTTGTAATGTTCTGAACAACCAATAAAAAAAGGTATCATATTACAATTTAAAAAAAATTACTTTCAGTAATTTTCATAAAATGAAACAAATAATAAGGGCTAGAAAAGAAATGCAGATAGGGCTGGGGTTGTGGCTCAACGGTAGAGCACTCCCCTAGCACATGGGAGGCCCTGGGTTTGATCCTCAACACCACATATGAATAAAAAGAAAGGTATTGTGTGAAACACAACTAAAAAATAAATATTTTTTTTAAAGTGAACATTTTTTATTATTGAAATCCACACATAATCAGATCAGTATAAAATAGATATAGTTAACAATTTTAAATAAATATTACAGGACAAGAAATGAAAATGAGTTCATAATTCTTTTTCTTTCTTTTTTTTTTTTTTTTTTTTTTTTTGGTGTGTGTGGTACTAGGGATTGAACCATCCAGGGGCACTTAACCTCTGAGCCACATTCCCCAACCCTTTTTTAATTTTTATTTTAAGACAGGTTCTCATTAAATTGCTGAGGCTGGCTTGAACTTGCAATCAACCTCCCCAATTGCTGGGATTGCAGGCATGTACCACCACTCCTAGTTTATATCCACATATTGATCTGTTAGAATGCTGAATAGTGTCATGATTTCTTTTTTTGATTCTTAACTTTGGCAAATTTGTCAAAAGTGATCTTATTTGTATTCAATAGAAGTATAACCAGATTTGTTGACTTTCACTTAAGTTGATTAAAATAACTTTAATTAAATATTATTTCCAAAAGTTCTTTTCATGTGAGGCAACAAATATACAAACAGGAAAATCTTAAACATAGGAATAAATTTGGCAAAGACTCACAAAAGTCCCATTTCACAGTGAATTCCAGAAAATTTAAATACCACATAAATAAAACCTCATTCTAGTCACCTAGAATGAGAGAATTACAAGAACTCAAGTTCAGTTTCTTCGATTTTACAATCAGGGTGCTATAGTTGTTTATTTTGTTTATTTATTTATGTATTTGTTCTGAGGATTGAATCCAGGTCTTCAAGCATAAGAAGCACATGCTTTACCACTGAGTTACCTGTCAGCCTCTCATTGTTTATTTTATTTATTTTTAAATCAATATATTTATTTTCAGATGGTGTATTCGCCATGTTTTCCAGGTTGCCTCAAACTCCTAGCTGAAGTGATCTGCCTGTCTAAGCCTTCTGAGTAGCTGGAACTACAGGCATGTGCCACTAAGCTCAGCTCATTGTTTATTTTAAACACAGAAATATGTAGCTATCTTTGGGGCTGGAGACAGACATTGCACTCAAAGCAAATTTGAACAATTCCAAACTGTTAAGAACTTATTCTACATTTAAACACACATAGACAAGTCAGCTTGTGTCAAGGGCTATTGCATAAGTGAAAATTCTCTGGATTTTTGGGCGAGGTGGCCATTGCCTGTAATCCCAGTGACTCAGGAGCCTGAGGCAGGAGGATTGCAATTTCAAGGCCAGCCTCAGCAAATTAGTGAGGCCCTAGGCAATTTAGTGAGACTGTCTCAAAAAACTAAAAATGTGGGCTGGGATAGTGGCTCAGTGGTAGAGTGCTTGCCTTCATGCATAGGGCACTGGGTTTGATCCTCAGCACCACACAAATAAATAAAATAAAGGTATTGTGTCCTACAACTAAAAAAAAAAAATGCTGGGGACTTAGCTCAGTGGTTAACTGACATGGGGTTCCATGGCGGAGATGGGGAATGGGGGTGGGATGGGGGGCGGGGGGTGCATGGGAGTGTAAACTTCCATGTATATTACAATGTTTTTTTAAAAATGTGCCTATTTGGAGCAAAACAATATGCTTATTTGAAGCTTATATAGCATTAAAACTTATCAGTGACTACAACAA